GCTTTCGGCCACGCGCCAACGGCCGATCACTAGCGGTAGTGCCCCTGGACTGGACACGCGACGCGAGTCCCAGGTCCAGCGGGGGTGGTCCGTAGTCGTAGTAGGGGCCATGCCATTTGCCACCAGCGGCCAGCCACCCGCCGCAGCAAGCGGCACAGCGTCCAGGCGTACGGCCACGCACGCTGGTCACACGCAGCACCGGGCGCCGCCGGCCCGGCCCCTTGGACCAGCCTCTGGCTTCGGTTTTCGCATATCGCACAGTGCGCGCACGATCCCGGCCACCAACCCCGTCGCACTCAACCGCTGGCGAACGGTCGACGGAGATCGACGTGTGGTTTCGCGGCGGCCTCGCGCCGGTTTCCGGCCCCTTTTCCTCCAGCCCCCGTCCCGTCAAGGCGTCGTCTGTTGTGGGGTACGGTGGGTGCGTGCCGGTGCCCGGTTGGGCGCCTGTACGGTACGCCTCGGTGGAAATGTGCGATGGTGATGGGGGGGCCATCGGTGACTGTGCGATTTGCTGCTCTGCCAATTGCCAGGTCGAGACGACGGGCTCGGCGAGCGGATCGTCGTAATTTCCGGCCTGTGGCGACCGACGTGTCGTCTGCGGACTGCGGAGCGCAGGGCAGGGCGGCAGCGGGCTGGCGGGCGGCTCGAGCTGCGGCTTGCTCCCCCGGTCCACGGCCCTGTCGCGCTCGCGGCGCTCCCGATGCGCGCGCTGCGGATGGGGAAATGCCCAAACTACTCGATCTTTAACTAACGACGCGACGTGCCAGCGGGGGATGGATAGATGGGTTGGGTGATCACCCATTCACCCGCCGGGAACACGGCGCTTTCTTTTGGTTTTCACCACGGTACCAGTGCGTGCCGTGCCGTCCGGTGGTCGTGCCGCTGCTCTGCTCCCGTCCCGAAGCCGCCGCTTGTCCCTTGTCTTGTTCCTTCGGATGACAACACTCTTGGGCAGTTGGGCGTGTTTACATTACACCTAGGAAGTACTAGGAACTGCGGCACGGCACGCCAAAGGTGCTGCGGTCGCTTGGCTTGTCCCGATCGACCGCGGGCCGGCCGACGTCGTTAAAGTTGCGTCACGAGGCCAGCGAGCCACCTTCTCTGCGCTGTGCCGTGACGCAGTAACCACAATGATGCTGCTGCCGCTTCGTTTACAATACACCTGTTTGCCACTCGCAGCGGAGCGGACAAGATGCATGCCGCCGCGGCGTGCCGAACTGGCAGCGTACGTAAGGGCGCAAAGGGTCGTGTCGTGACGACCGAGCACCTCGCGCACGCCGTCGTCGTTGCGGCGCCTCGCTGCACCGCATACATGCACGCACAGCCCAGAGCCCACCCACCTCCTCACCGTCCGCGCGCGCCGACTGTTCCGCTCTGTTTCCACCGGCGACTGCCCGACCCGACCCTTTCCCATTTCCCTGCTTCTTTGTTCCGGCTGCTTCCTATGCCAACTGCCAACTTCCCTGACAGGCACGGTGCTGGTGCACCTGTTCGGCTTTGGCTGCACCAGACCAGAGCCCAGAGGGCCGGGCACGGCCCCGTACCACGCCACCTGCATTTTAATCCTGGCTATACCTAGCCTCGTAAGCCTAGCCTTTGGCCGCTGTAACTGCACAGCTAACACAGCGCAGCGGCAACTAATCAGTAATCACGCCGGGGCCGCCTCAAACGAAAGCGGCAAGCAGTTCAACACCTCAATTCAACCTTAGAACGTTCAAAGTTCAAATGTGACATCGCAAGAAGCAGTCGGGAAACTCGCGACAGTTTGCTTACAGGTGCAGCCGCATTTAAGGCAGTCAAGGATCTGTATATTGCCGAGGGCCACCTACCACTAGCCTTGTTGAAACGACCCAGTGGTTCTACTACCATTCAATCCAAGCACTCCTGCTATCCAATTCCACACCCAACCATGATGTCCAAACGGTTGGCGCGACGCAGAGGCATGGGATCATCAAGTGCCTTTCTTCTTCAGTCTTCAGTCTTCACCTCTCTGACAATTGACAACGAGAGGAGCCTCCTGGTCTAATAAGCAACAAGTTAATGGCACGTCACGTGGATTCAAAATCTGAGGGCTACGGCCGTAGGCTTGCTCGCAACTGTTACCAAACCCTTGACCATGTGGTGGTAAAGTACAGCAACGAGCTGGCGTTGGAGTATATACTCCCCTGTGCCCTGTCACCCTGCTGTGTGCGTATTTGAAGCAGGTATAGGGTCCTCAGGGAGGCATGTGAAGGTGACAACTGACGAGTGAGTGACCGGGTCTCTGTTTCTCCTTTGCTCATAGATAGCCCAAGCACAGAGGAGGACTATGGCTACAGGGCATGTGGAGGTGGCCATGCCGTGGAGAGAGATTCCCCTCTTTGGGACGCTACAGAATCGCAGAGGGCCGTGCGCCAACTATAATGTTCACACTCAACGCTACCGTCTGGCTATGCCTCTGCTCTGCTGACGTATAGTACATCCATGTGAATATATTCAGGGAGTCTCTTCGATCATTTCTTCTGTCCTCCGACGTGCAACGCTGACGTGACTTGAAGGGGGAAAAACAATTGGAAAAAAAAGGCGCTCTGAACCAAATTTCTGGTGTTTTTATTAGCAGAGTTTTCGGTGTTCTATCAACAGAGGGAAGGAAAGCAATAGAAGAGCGACCTCAGGATCATATCATACCCAAAAGGATGCTGCCGCTGCTACGGGTAGCCACCCTTTTTCTTTGCTAACGTGTCTTACTCACGAAAGCTTAAGCACGCAGCCTGCCAATGGAGAACCAACACGAATCCTGGAGGTTACTCAATTACCTGTAGGTGAAGCTACCGTCTTATATTGCTAATATAGTAGTATTATATATACACAATCATCCATGGTCCATTGGGCATCTATCACAACGGAGAAGAGACAGGCCAAAGAAAGCAACACGCAGGCAACTGGGGATAATGTAAACTTCTCCCCCCTCGTGAAATCTGCATCATGACCTCACCATGGCGACCAAAGAAACCAGAGTGTTTTCGGGGCCGGCTTGCCCCAGATTCTACAACAACAATGTCATTGGGCATGTGGTGGACCGAAACATGAATAAATCTGGCGGCTCCGGGCCACCGGCGACACGGGTGCAATGCAATCCGGCAGGTGTATGCACATGCCGGCTTCGGATGCAAGGCACCGGCAACGAAGGCAACAGGGAGGAATTCTCTGATGAGGGGAATGATGAATAGAGAGGTCTCCTCTACTGTCATTGCAGCGACCACCTCTTGGTCTTGGATGCAGTAGGAGGCATGCATTTGTTGGTCCAAAACTGCGCACAAATCCAAGAGAGATTTGGGCGAAGACACCGGGATTTCACGATCGGTTTCTGGGATGCCTGCTCATGCATCAATTCCATCCTATCTCCTCCCCCTTTTGGCGTTCCTTTAAAACATTTTTCCACTCCTTTGGATTCGGACGGTTCATTCGGCCTCTGCGTGTATAGCGGAATCACGCTTCCTTAGCTTTTTCGTGGCTCGGGAAATGGCATCGCGCCTCCTGAATCTAATCTGATGAACGGGCCGGCTTCGAAATGGAATCTGGAAGAGAGCCCCGGGCACGGGCAGGCAGAGCATCTGGCTGGAGCCACCAGTCACCACCTAGCCGGAGCCGGAGCGTGCTGGTCGTCCGTGCTGGGACTGGGAGCACGCGGCCGTGTCCGGTGGTGCTCCACCGTCCAGCCTGCAGCCTGCAGCCTGCAGCGAGGGGACGTCAAATTTGTCCGACGCACATGCTGCCCATGCACCATCACATCAGTACTCGCTGCCCTGCGCCCGATCAATGCATCGCAATCTCCGGCTTGCCCTACAGCGAAAACGATGCCTGTCCCAAGAAATGCTGCCCAGGCACCCCTGGCGTCCCAGCAAAGTCTCCTCTCTTCTTCAATCGTCTGCGAGGACGGCAAGCCTGCATCAGATGGATCGTGAGCTCGAGCATAAAACCATATTTGGAAACAGGAAAAGGGTACATACTGAGTAATTAATCTCTGGACTATGGAGAGTTAACAACAGCAGCAAGCCAGCAATGTACCTAGCTCCCAAGTACCAGACGGATTCCACAGAGCATATTCGGTCGAACAACAAACATAGGGCCCATCAAGAGGCTAACACTTCCAGTGGTTCTAGTACAAATAAAATAATCTCATAAAAACAAATAAAATTAAATCCACTAGACAATACAAAATAATTTTAAAAGAAATTTTTCATTCATCATACAAACCTTTAATCCTCTTCATTTTTAATGGAAACTTTTTTCATCATAGCTTGGGCAAGTCCTCGTGACAAACATACATCGCCATACTTTTTTTTTATCCGAGCACTTGGGCCACTTTCTTTCTCCCGATGAATAATAGCGTACCTTATTTAGTAAATAGCTTGGGCAAGATTCATCTCGTGACAAACATACATTTAGAGCGCCAAATTGATGTGATTTTTTAGGAATATGAACATCTAAATAAGGGGACTTCCAGTAAAAAAAGCAGTGTTCACAAAGGTACGATGGCATCTTTCACTGGATCAATGCGGGTAATGGTACGATGCACGGCAGCACCAGAAGGTACTTTATATGGCACTGCCGACACGGACAAATGCAGGACTGGTCGATGAATGAAGGGCCCCATATATATGATATAAAGACACATGTAGATTTCAATACCAAACATTTCCTTGTGCTTTTCTGAACTACTAATAGGTTCTCAAAAGGGGTAACCTAAGCACAGCGAATAGGATACGCATGCCTTACCATCCAGTTTCCGACCAAATGCTTTTCACAGCTAGCTAATAAACAAAACATACAGCATGTGCCATCGTGTAGCATTGCAGGTCATGCTTTGGGCTCTGAAGATCGCACGAGCTAATGCGACTCTTTCACCCTGACAGTGCATCAGTTAGTACAGGCATGATCAGAAGGACGATATGTACACAAACCGGTCATCAAGAGGGCATGCATACATTGATGGCCAAGGTCCAGATGATTAAGCACTAAGCTCTACCGCCTGCTTCTGGGTCATCTGTATCCAAGACTCCGTTTTGTGCCATGAGCATTCTGTACACCCTTCTAGAGCATTTGTCACCCAGCCTTTTGCATTCGTCACCCAGGCGATCTTCCCACTTCAAGTCGCTAAGCAGACGTTCCTTCTCGGCAACCTGTTTCAGGGACAAGTTAACAGCACGAAAGGGTATAGTTCTTAACTTTTTTGCTCTTATATGAACCCAGGGACAGCACTCACGGTTTTACTGGCATCCATATATTCATTCAGAAGGGATCTCATACAGGGATACTTCTTCCAGATTGCAATAGCATATCTTGGCTGGATGTCAGGAATCGCTATTAAAGCTTTTAACCTGTCAGATATAATACATGTACAATGGTTCATGACCATGATAGCCAAATAGATGGTGTTCATCTACATGAAACTATTGTAAAACAGAACTGAAGAAAAATAATGAACTAGAAACTATATCTCAGTTATTTATTTCAAGGTAAGCTTACTATTTCAATTGGCTTAGTCTAAAAAACAAATCAGAATACTACTACTAAGTAGAAAGAATTCAGGAACCTAGTAGAAAGGTTAGGCTAGACACTGCATAGGAGAAATCTCATCAGTAGATGAATGAGTGATTAGATTTTGTTCCATTCAAATCAGATAAAATTGCAGCTAACATCATGCAAAAGGGATAGTATTGAAAATGTACTGATTGAAGACTATAGTGCATGCTGAGGGTGGTGGTGTGCGGTGAGGTGGTGGTGGTTAGCAAAACAGAGGACAGTCAATGGAGATCTGATTTGGTATTTACTTCTGCACAACATACCAGGTGTCGTTCTTCGCCAGGTTCTTATGAACAAAATTTTTAGGGATAATTGCACCATTTGCATGCACAGATAACCATGTTAGTGGTTTCCTGCAAAAAAGTCCGAGAGGAAATTAATAAAACATGGAAATGCTTCTGGCAGCAAATAGAATTGTAGACCTGCACTAAATGCATATCCAGATCACATTGCCAAAATAAACTACATGCCAAGGATTTAACCTATCGTGTCATTTAAAAGCATTAGTGGTACATCCATCTAAAAGAAATATGCACATGCCTGCTGAACTAAAAGAACTTGGTAAACCCGTATGCATTTCTATTTTTTACTTGTCACTCCATTACACCAATGATAAATATCAGAGGTTTTGCTGTTCCACCTCATCAAATATTTCCATGCATCAAAGGGAATACAAGTTTTCTTTTATAATGCACAACAGACTTTTAACAATTAGAACATCAACTTTTATCTTTGCTACTACGATGTAGGTTCCAACAAAACAGCATGATAGCAATGGACTCATTGATAGCACAAAACAGTGACCATACATAACAGTTAAGCACATGGGAAAAAACTAGCATGCATCACAAATTTCTATATTCACTAGAAACAACCAACAAAGTTACTGAACTTGTCTAAGTAAATGTAACTTGCCTGAATTTGCATTTTGCAAGACTAGACGTAAGGCCAACAAGGTGCTCTACTACTTCAGCTTCATCTATGCATTGCCTTGAGTGGACATTAATATAGTGTGTTGCCAGTTTGCATAAAACCTATACAAAGAATAGATGTAACGCATCCCAGGATAATAAAAGTTCATCATGAAAAACAAAAATGCAAGAAATGAAAACAGACCTCTTCCACTGGTGGACGTCTCCAAGTATTTGAAGGGTTCTTGTATTGACTTTGCTCACTGACATGACAACAAAAGGCAAATTTTAGCAGATTCAGATGGTCAAAGTTGGTTACTTTTCCTACTACACAGAAGTTACCATGCACATTCCTCACAATCCAAAAAAGCACAAAAGGTGATGCACAGTGAACAGCAGCCTCACCCATATCCCCAACTCCCAAGGTCATACTAATTGGGCTTAGGCTCTTACAGATAAATAACAATCAACTCAATAAGCAAGTTAATATCTTCAGGGCATAACATATCTTGTTATCAGATGGAAAATTTAGAATATTATTGGGGACCACCTAATTGTCACCCTTTTTCATTAAGAAAAGGAAAAAATGGCGCCCTCATTTCATTCTTCCATCAATTTGCGTCCTCATTCACCTGGCACTGAACCTTTTTCTTTCAACACCGGTAAACCCGAATTTCATTACCGCAACAACGAAATTACAAAAGTTTTCAGTTCATGTCCAACATAACGACATCTACCACAGACAATAACCGCATTCAGACACGCGATCACAAAGGGAACACATGCCTGAACGCCCCAGCGCTACTACAAGAAAACTATAAGCGCCACCTGGCACTGAACCTTATCTAACAATACTTTATCACATGGCAATGCAAGTAAGTTTTTCTCCCATCCTTTCTATTTTCATACTAAAAACTCCAGTTGGAAAGGAGGATACCATAATTCACTAGGTTATGGTTTGAAAGACTAGGCCCAAGACAAAGCATAGGGAAGATAGAAAGGTTACTTCTGATCAAACATCTTGCATTCATCCCCCTCCCATGTCCAAAAATAAATAACTACTGAATGATAAGAACTGAATTAGCCAACATGCTGTTTAAAAAGGTTCAGAAGGTTTTGTTAAAGTTTGGCAGTGAACACAACATGCAAAGATTAATTTTTTTCTTTTCTTTTGAAGGCCAAACTAGAAACAGTCAAACATATAATTCAGACTTTAGAGAGCTCACCATTTGTTGACGTAGTTCATCAGTTTATTAATGATGTAGCAAATGGTGAATCCTGGGTATCCATCACGAACTCTTTGGACATGATCAAAGAACGATCCGTTGCTTATAAGATTACAAAATTCCTCGGCTTCAAGCACAATTGCAACATATTTCACTTGTGACAATGGATTTTGGTTCTGTAGAAAGATATGTCACGCTACGATTTTAGGATATATTATTATGTGGTTACTTTAAAAAAGAAGATACGATGTTAAAAGGTTAGAGAGGAACAAAGGAAACATGTAGCACCATATCACAGCTATCTTTAAGATCGGAAAACGCCTGAGCAATATCATCAGGAACATCCAACTTCCATAAAATTGAACCACTAATTTTATTCTTAGTAGGTTCATAGGAAAGACCATTCTCTGTCAAACTTGAAAGAAGAGGACCTGTTAAAAAGAGGCAGATATATTAGTAGTGGAAAAATATGGAAACAACTAATGACGATAAATGGTTTTTTGTGATACAACTTAATTCACCATACTCAAACAGACCTCCAATGGAGCCCCTTTGGATAACACTGTTGTCAATCTCAACAGTAATACATTCTAGAGCAAGTTTTCCTGATTCCCACTTCTGAATTGCTTTTTCCATTTTCTTCTTCTTAGCTAGTTTATCTTTCAAAGCTTGCTTCACTACTTTATCTTCCTACAAAATAACCAATATGCGCTCTAATAATCTATCTTATGCATGAATAAGGATATTCTTCTATGAAATACTTGCTGAACCTGTCGTTTTTGTTTTCTTTCTTGCATCAGTTTGCCTTTCTCCTCCTTTGTCAGTTTCTTCCCTGCCTACATAATTTGCAAGAATGACTCATCAGTCATCACTTAAACTAACATGTCTTTAAAACTTGAGTCCCTTCTTGACAAAAGCCATACCGGTTGTCTTTTCTGCTTCGCTTGCACATGTTGGGCATCATCATCCTTCTGGCACATCATCGCTTCCTACATAGACATGGTGTTCTGTCACTTGATTACAATTAGGCGTGTTGATATATCTAATCTTAATCACTAGGCACTAGGCATGCGCATGCACAACTACTAAGTTTTGCCTTTATTTATGCAATGAAGCGCTATTTTTTTTTTTGAACAACATATAATGTTTCTACTTATGCAAGAATACATTGCGTTCAAAATATGACATATATACATCCATAAACAGAAATGCATATAAGTCAATACATATTTTCCCTTTTGTCAAATGAATTCAACCACAAGACCAGGCTTTACCGTATTGCTTGACAAATTGATTGAAGGCTCCCTGTTCATGATGTCATCATCCGACTCATCGTCACTATCAAGTGATATCAGAGAAGTAACTCCTGCGAAATAGAAACAAGTGTCATTACTAGTAGACTGTAGGCAAACCATGGTGAGTTTAGAACCGAGTGATATTGGGGTAAAAATAGTGATGTTTTTTTTTCATCAAAATCACATGGAAGTTGCTGGTGAGTTACAAAGATAATTAACAAAATCTAGAGCTGCATTGCAATTCTTTTTTTAACTACCTTAACTTAATGTAAGCTGAAACATAATAGAAACGACTCTATTCTATTAGACACAAGAAACCATCTTAAGTGAACAAAACCAGTGTACTTAACAAGATTAGTACTGTAGTAGATCCCTCATGACTCAAACAAAGAGCAAGCAGCCACAAGCGAGGACACTTTACCAGATCCTTTTTGTGCCGGCGGAGCAGATGACATGCCAGGGGCAGCAGGTGGCCTAACCGAGCGCGAGGAGGCGAAGCCCGGAGCCTCAACATCAACACTGCCGAGGCCGGCAGAACTGCGCACAACCGTCTCCGGTGACTCGGAGAAAGCGGCGCAGTCAAAGATAGAATCGGGCCTGTCGGTACCAGCATCACCAGGGGCTGACGGCGCCACGTCCTCATCCACCACAAGAACCGGCAGCTTGGGCACCGAGGAGAGCTGCCGCTTTGGCGGTGACGGGGTGTCGTCGAGGTCGATGGAGACCGAGGAGCGCCGCCACTTTGGCGGGGACGGGGTGTCGTCGAGGTTGATGGGGCCCTCCGCCGCGGGCAGAGGCCGCTTCTGCCGGGGCGGGGACGGCGAGAACGCGTCGAGGAAGTCGCGGGAGGAGATTCCCGAGGATCCGAGGGACCGCTTGCAGGAGGGAGGGGAGGCAATGGCGAGGCCGTTGTCGTCGTCGTCGTCGTCGTCGTCGAGGATGTCGACTACGGGAACGGAGGACGCCATGGGCGAAGCTGGGTTTGGGGATTCGCCTAGCCGAGGCGAGATGGGGAATTTTGGGGCCTGTTTGGGGTGGCTGGCGCTCCCCAGCTGCAACCCGACCTGTTTGATTTGTTTGGCCCAGCTGCCCGTCCGGCTCCGCGCGTGTAACGCACTCTCTTTCCTGCATTCCGGCGAACGCTCCGAGTTCGTTTCTCTGGAGCCAGGCTCCCTCTATCCTCGCGCAATTGATTTCGGGGCGGCGGCGGCGACGACTTGCGCAGAACCATGAAACTTTCTCCCACGCTCCTGCTCGTCGAAATTATATACCGCCCTCCTGTTTCGCTGCCTTCTTGTCCCTCCTCCAGCTCCGTCTTTCTCACTGTGTTCACGTTGAGTGACCGGCGGTGTTGGTGTGGTGATGGTGCGGCGTGGCGGGCTTCTGGCTCTCCGGTCTCCGTCTCCGTTTAGATGATCGGGATCCGCTTGGCCGCGGCGCTGCTGCGCCTCCTGCTGGGCTTCGTGGAGACGATCGTCTTTCTCCTTCGTCTTCTTCCTCCTTCGATGGTACGGTTGGTCTTGGTTGGGGGCGATCTACTTCGTCCCGTACCGGATCTGTTTCTGTTTCCACTACGGCTCTTCTTCTTCTCCGTCTTGCGCTTCTTCCTGTATCCGTCGACTCCCCCGAGGTGAAATCCTCCCAAATCCCCTTTGCTTTCAATTTAGGGTTTCCTGTTGCCCTGTTTTGATTTCGATTTGTCTCTGTGGAATGATTGTTTGGGTACATAATGCTTGTGTAGTTGCTATGAATGTTGATTTCGAGCACTGAAATATTTATGGTGCATTGTTGGTTCTTTTCATATGGTCGATGATGAATCTGTCAACTATATGTTGAAATGTTAATTCTTTCATGGTCGATGATGATTCTGTCCAATGCACTAGAGGCATTCTTTTTATGCAGTCATGTTGTTAGCGTTTGATATGAATGATTGCACTTTCATGTTGAGGCCAGCCAAGGTCTACTACAGCTGAGATGTATCTTTGAATGTTGAATGCATGTAGATGGATCCAATTGCACAACGTGAGATGATGGCCAGACAAGCAGCTGCCATGGTTGTGGTTATGCTTTCATTTTTTTGTCACTAGACTAAGAAGACTTAGGGCCCAGCTAGAGCCTATCCTTATGGTCCAAGGTCATTAAGCCAGCAGCATAGGCTATCCATCCTCCAAATGATATTTAACAGCACTGATACTGAGTGTTTGGCTATATTACGTATGACCAGAGCTCTTTTTTTTAATCTATGCAACCTTTTTAGAGATAGAGGCCTTGTCAGATAAAACAGTGGGTGTTCTGTTGAGGAGCAGGTTGCAATATTCCTCCATATGGTTGGTCACAACCAAAAGTTCAGGGTAGTTCACCGGCTTTTAGAAAATTCATTGAGACAGTTAGTAGAGTCTTCCACCAAGTTCTCTATGTTGTTGGTGAGCTTAGGAATGAAATGATCAAACCTCCTACCACTGCTACACATCCAAAATTCATGGGTAGCTAGAGATGGTAGCCATATATGCAGGTACTTGTTAATCATGTTTATCTGCCTTAGGTTTAACCAATTGTTGTGTTTGCACTTATCCACTATCCTACACATTTTAATGACTGTGTTGGTGCCATTGATGGCACACATGTGTTGGAAAGGATGCCTAGACACATGCAACAGCCTTTCAGAGGTAGGAAACACAACCCCACATAAACTGTGATGGCTGTTGTGGACTTTGATCTCAAGTTCATCTATGTCCTAGCTGGCTGGGAGGGCTCTGCCCATGATCTACTCATTCTTGCTGATGCAATTGACAGGAATGATGGGTTCATAGTTCCTGAAGGTAACTGAAATTAATAGTCCATACACTGTTGTCCTTTAACTTGCCACACACCTTTACTGTAGTATATCTTTTGGTCCACTTGTAGGGAAGTTTTACCTAGTAGATGCTGGCTATGCTTGCCGCACTGGTTTCCTCCCACCCTATAGGGGGTGAGGTACCACTTGTCTGAAATTGGGAGCTGCAATTATCCTACCAATACCAGGGAACTGTTCAACCTAAGGCATTCATCCCTTAGGGTGACAGTGGAGAGAGCTTTTGATGCACTCAAGAACAGATTTCGTATCCTAGACAATAAACCTTTCCACACATACAAGACTCAAGTGAAGCTTATACTGGCCTCTTGTATTCTCCATAATTGGATCATTGGGGTTGGCATGGATGTAGTGCCAGAAGAGGAGGGCTTCCTAGGCATCCAGCCTGAGGGTGATGAAACTTATCCTGTGGGAGACTGAAAGCTCTAGTTTTGTTTTGGTGAATTGATGAAATCCTAAGTGCTAACCTAGTTTATCTAAGTGATCAATGAGATAGGTAGCACATTCCAAGTGAGGGGGCATATGAGGATCATGATGATTGTAATGGCATGGTGATGATCAAGGTGCTCGGACTTGAAAAAGAAGAAAGAGAAAAACAAAATTGGCTCAAGGCAAAGGTGAAATCCATAGGGCTATTTTATTTTAGTGATCAAGACACTTAGCGAGTGTGATCACATTTAGGATTGATAGTCGTACTATTAAGAAGGGTGAAACTCGTATCGGAATACAGTTATCAAAGTGCCACTAGATGCTCTAACTTATTGCATATGCATTTAGGATCTAGTGGAGAGCTAACACCCTTGAAAATGTTTGTAAAAATATGCTAACACACATGCACAAGATGATACACTTGGTGGTTGGCACATTTGAGCAAGGGTGGAGAAGTTGGTGAAGTGAAGGAGGTGATTTTCACTGAGAAACAGTGATCGGACGTAGATCACATGGTGACCGGACTCGGAGGTGCGGCGTCCGATCAATTATCAAATGAAGTTTGGCGCACTTGACCTCTGTCTGGTGCATGACCGGACGCTGGGGTAAAAGGTGACCTGACTCGACGCTGGTGCGTTCGGTCAGGCTGATGTACGCTGACGTATGAGGTTTGAGTGAGCGTGGAGAAGACCTGACTCTGGGCGAATCTGGTCAGTGGAGATCGGACACGTCGAATCAGCGTTTAGGCGCTCGGGGAGCTCTCTAGAAATGACCTAACGTGCAGGCACCGCGGTTGATCGGCGCGTCCGGTCGTGTGTTGCCGCGCGTGGACAAGGTGGCACTGGCACGTCCGATCTCGTGTTGGGCGCGTTCGGTCATCACTTAACCACGAGGGCGCTGAGAATCGACCGTTGGGATCAGGTGGCTGACGTTGAATCTAGGGGACATGTGGACGAAGGTCCACGACCGAACAATGGGGGCCTACGTTTGGTCAGCATGACCTGTGCGTCTGGTTGCCTCGTGAAAGCTGAGGGCAGAGAGCCAACGGCTCTATTTCGAGGGGACCTCTATTTAAGCCCCATGGCCGACTCAAGCTCACTCTCTTGGCCATTTGCATTGACATAGCAACCTTATGAGATTAGCCAAAGCCCTCCCACTCATCTCCATCATTGATTCATCATCTTTGTAAGATTGGGAGTGAATCCAAATGCATTGCTTGAATGATTGCATCTAAATGCACTTGGTGTTCGAGTTTCGCTACGGGATTCGCTTGTTACTCTTGATGGTTGCCGCCACCTAGATGGCTTGGAGCATCGAGGATCGTCGAGCGAAGGTTGGTGATTGTCTCCGGCTCTGATCGTGGTGATTGTGAGGGGTTCTTGACCTTTCCCCGACGAAGAGCCAAAAGATAGTCTAGTAGATTGCTCATGGCTTGTGTAATCCTCATCCTGTGTTGGTTGTGCGGCACCTTATTGAGAATTTGGCGTGTGATGTCAATTAGCGCGTGAACCTCTAAGTGAGTGAATCGCCACAATGAGGACTAGCTTGCCGGCAAGCAAGTGAACCTCGGTAAAAATCATTGTCATCATTGATTCTGAGGTAATTGGCCTTCATTGATATTCATTATTGTGATTGATTGGTTCATTCCTCGACTCGGTGGTATAACCATCTTGCTCTCTCTCTTTATATTACCGTAAACTAGTTGTCAAGCTCTTTAATGTAGCTAGTCGTGAGAGTTTGTTAGGTTGGTTAGTGTGGCTCTTTAGTTAGTCTTTGAGAGCACACTAACTTAGTGTAGCGACATAGCCATTGTGTGGATAGAGATTATAGAAACTAGAATTGTGATAGGTGGTTTGTATTTTTAGAAGGCTAGCGCAACACTCGCTTTGCCTCATATTTGTCTAACCGATCTGCTAAGTGTTGTTGTAGAAATTTTTAATAGGCTATTCACCCCCCTCTAGCCATTAGAACCTTTCAAGTGGTATCAAAGCTGTGGTCACCGTGATTTGGGACTTAGCAACCTTCATGTCATGGATGCTGACCTTATTAGGATGGCTGAGTTTGTGGGGGCTGCTGACATGGCTGCTGTGGCTGATGCTGGGCTAGCTGGGGCTGTTGCTGCACCAGAGGTGGTGGAAGTGGGGGCTGATGCACCTGAGGCAGTGCCTGCCCAGGGGGTGCTGGTGGTGCTAGGCCCCCCATGAGGTGGAATAACAACACCTCTAGTTCTGTCCTTAGGAGGATGGCCCAGATAGTGTCTGATGGGAGTAGGGCTGACAAGTGCTTCAAGAATAAAGATGTGAACCATGTGGCTAAGGCTCTTAAGGAGTACTGTAGTGAAGCTGTGGGCCCTACTCAAGTGTACAATCACTTGAGGAAGTGGAGGCAGAAGTGGGCTAGGGTTGTGAAGTTGAAGGATCTTAGTGGTGCACTGTTTGATCATGATGTGAATGCCATAATGCTTGAACCTGAGCACTACATAGCCCACTATAAGGTAGAAAAAGAGTCAATTACCTTTCTCTCTTCTCTCTTCCTCTTCTGGCCACTTATTCTCTTCTTTCCTGTTTATTTAATTAAGCACACATGACTGTAGGACCATCCTAAGGATGCTGAATTCCTTAACACCCCAGTCAGGTTTTACACTGAGATGGAGACCATATTTGGCTCTTCCATGCAGGGGCGAAGCCA